CAAGGCGAAGGCTGAAGGGCGGCACGGAAAAGACCCGCCGCTCGACTAGAAGAGCCTCTGGAAGCGAACGGAGAAAACAAGTAGAGCGAGATTCAGCGGCGCGGCGGCTTCAACCTACCGCGGCCTCCTCGGCTTCCTCACCGGCCTCAGCCACTCCTCAGCCCGCCTCACTCTAGTAGCGAGAAGCGCAAACCCCTCCCCTCCCGCCTAGATCGCTCCTCCGCCTGATGGAGGGAAAATGCGCCACCGGGGCCTGTTGGCGCAGGCGCGAGCTCCTCCCCTCCTCCTCCCGTTTCGAGAAAGCCCTCTTCGTTTCTCTCTCTCTCTCTCTCTCCCCCTCCATTTTCTCATTCTCCTCTTCGTCCTCGCGAGGCATCTCGGGAGCTGTAGTAGCGGCGAAGCAAAATTCCCTCATAGACTGCGGCAAATGGGCGGGACAAAACCATGCTACCCAGAAGGCGCTACGAAGCCGAGTCTCTGTTTCCATAGAACTGGAGTGGGAATTACATCAGCGTTTCTGAGGCAGCGGCTAATGGCGATGGCGTGTGGGCGGGGCCGCTCGGGTGGCGCGCCAATGCGAAGCGGGCAAGGCGGTCAGAGGGCGGGCGTCGATGCGTCAATCAGGCATCGGATCGGGGGAGGGGACGGAACAGCTTGGAGCTGAGCCGCTGCTGTCGCCGTCGCCACCGGGGTTCGGACGGGAGGGAGAAGCGTCCTCTTGGCGAGCCCTCCCTGCCCCAGAGCCAGGCCGGCGATCGCTGGAGGGACGGAGGCGGGAGCGGGGGCCGGGCGATTGGGCCCGGCGTCGAGAGGAGGCTCCGTCCTCCTCGCTCCCCCCCCTCCCGCGGCAGGTTTGGGGGGACCAGCGAGCGGGCGACAGCCGTGGAACAAAAGGTAACGTTGCCCCGGGGAAGAGGCTGCGGGCCCCGGCCCTGGGCGTTTCGCCGAGCTCCCCGGGGAAGGCCGAAGCCCTTCGGCGGGGGGATCGGAGGAGAAGCGAACGAGCGACTCGCTTTCGGGATGGTTGTTTTTCTGCTGGTTGAGGCGGCGGCGGCGGCTGCGCTGGTCGCTTCAGCTTGCCGGGAAGCGGGACCTCGGAGTCTGGGAGGAGGAAGCGGGGAGTCCCGCGGCCGGCTTGGGAGGGAGGCGCTCCCCATCGCCGCCCCCGAGCGTCGCTTCTCTCGGCTGGAGCCCGGAGCTGCGGCTGTTGCTGAAACTCCGACCGCGGAGTCAGCCCGGGGGGGGGAGGGGAGCGAATCTGTGGGGAGAGCGAAGAGGGGCCAGTTTGCAGGGATGGAAAGAGCTGAAAACCCATCTCTGCTGCGACGGCTAATAGGATTCCTTTTGGGCTTTATTTTGTTGATGTGACCGTACTATTAGGTTTCGCCTGTACGCAAATGAATATTCTGTACGTGCCGAACGATTCAGAACTAACTTGAAATATATGCAGTATTTCTGACAGATTCCTAGGATGGCTGCATAATATGTATGCAAGAATTTATTATGTCCAAAAATGTATTTATATTTAGTCAAAATCATTTTGGTAAACTCTTTTATATTTGACTTACAGCCATTCGTTTAGTGACCATTTGAAGTTACAACAGCAGTGGAAAAGTGATTTATGACTGTTTCACACCACTGTTGCAAACTCTCTGTGATCAAGTGATTAAAATTCAGGTGCTTGGCAACTGGTTCACATTATGCAGTGGCCTGGGGGTCATGTAATCCATCTTTTGCTGCCTTCTGACAAGCAAAGTCAATGGGGAAGCCAGATTCACTTAACAACCATGTTACTAACTTAACAACTGCAGCAACAGAAATTTTGGGCTCAATGGTGGTTGTAAGTCAAGAACTAAACTACTGTACCGTAGCAGTTTACTAAGACTTTAGGATCTAATTTCAAAATGATTACAATTTCAAGTAATTTCAAGATGAGAAAATAATTATCAAGACCAGAATGTTATGCAATGTATTGAACAAAAACAACTAATAGAAGTTTTAAATAATAAGGTACTTTATGGGGAAATTCTTGTGTCCATAAAACAAGCTTTTGCATTTCTGTCCAGAAAAGTGTTCATTTGGCTAACAATTAAAATCAGCATGACCTTAACAGAAAGGGCTTTTCTAGATAGATTTTATTATCCTGGGGGACATATTCCAAAACATAAAAACTTTTAAAAGCTGATAAATGTTGAACACTTGAAAGCTGTAACTTTTATATATAATAGTTACCAATTTATGATTTTCACAGTATGTGTTACTTCACCCACCAAATATTTTGAGAATGTACAATTTGTAAAATCATCATGCTCTTAAGATCATTTCCAACAAATGTTACAGCTTACATTTAAATATTCTGGATGCTTTCCAATGACATGCTGCACTGATTATTATATTTAATGTGCTTACTGCTTAATAAAATGTTGAGAAGATCTTTCTTTTAAAAAATCTAGAATTAGTAAATGATACATAAAGCCATAAAATTAAGAGAGTTGGAAGGGACTTTATAGGTCATCTAAACCCCCCCTCCCTCAAGCAAAAGACCCTACACCATTTCTGACAAATGGCAGTCCTTCAGAGCAAATTTGGGAGACATTCAGTAAGGAATTATTTTAAGTTAGGTACTGGCAAACCACCAAACTCAATGCAATTAATAAAGGGGACAAACAAAACTTGATACCTGCCCTACTGCAGATCTCAGCTGGCTTAATTAGGACCAACACTTTTGCACTTGAAGTGTTTTTTACTTTTTCTGTTAATTGAAAAAGGAGGACATCTATTTATGGAAATAACACATGTCTTTATGAGTTAAGTTACTCCTCAGCTCATGAAATACTGTTTCTTCTTTCCACAGTATAGTAGACGAGAATTTCAAGAAACCAGTCACTCTTGAGCTTATCTTTGTCTGTCTCTCTCAGGAATATTGGCCAGCTATATTTCTGGAATTGAGTTATGAAAATTGATGAGCTGAAAAGGAGCAACATTCCATTAAATGTAGGAACTATCTTTAGGGATAGGGACCATTTGAATTTTAGGATTCCAGTAATGGATGTTTAGCTATTTGATCTTGGTATCGGTTTAGGAATGTCACAGAATGGTAAGGACAATGGGCATTTTTTCCAGCCAGGAATCACTTCATTATTGTCAATATTTGGGTAGGAAGGATGGTTTTGTTTGAAATTTTCCCAAGCTTTTTGGTAAATAACATTTTATTTGGTAATAAATTACTAAACTACTGCAATTCTGCAATGTTATTGAAGAGGAAGGATAGTTCTAAGTTGCCCACACCAACATTTCTACCTAAGGAGGAGAGAGGGAGAGAGGTATAAAATTATTCAATTTTCACCCTGAAATAGATGCTAATTACGAAGGCTCTGCAATGTTTTGAATTTCCAAAAGATCCTTTGGGTATGAACATACATCTGTCTGTGGCTACATCTTTTCCCAGGATCATATAGTAAAAGCATGATATTGGGAGGCAATGCATCTATTTTAAAGAATTATAGAGTAATGCTGTTTCTGCTCTGAATTTTGGAACTGAATCTGTAATTATATCACTGGCTGTGTTAATTTATAAAAAGTGGTTGCATTTTGCAAAAGTAGCTGCTATTTAACCATTTTTGTTGATTTGTATAAATAGCTGGCTTTTATATTAGCTTTTATTTTTAAAATACGTAGTGTTTATTTAAACATTTGTATCAAGTATATTTTTTACATATGTGTGGCAGTATCAGCCAATTTGTAGTATTAATGAGCAAAATCCAAACCTAGCTAATCTGAAGTGTGGCAAATGGGACTACAAATAGAGGTAGCATAAATGTAATGTGTTATATTGATAAACCCACAAAAATTACCAAAGATGGTAGTAAAATATTATTTGGCATAGTCCTTCAGCTAATGGAATCATGTGTTTTAATACATATTATCTGCCTACGTTATTTATACTATAAAGCTATCCTACAGAACCTCTAAGTCAGATTTACCAGGTGAAACTATCTTGTCTGGGGCGGCATAATTGATTAGTTACCTTTTTTTTTTGCAGTTATTATTTTTCCCCTGGAAGTGATTCTAGGTCAGATTGATAAAGTTGCAGAAAATAGAGTTTGGGGAATGAATTAGTGTATTCACTCAGAGTAAGATAATTTCCAGCAGTTTGAGAATGTACTTCTTGAAGAAAAGCAGTACCTCATTTTAAACACTCCTTTTTTCAGTAGGTAATAAAAGGATGGCACCAATTTGATTCCTTACTAGACCTTGTTTTCTGCATTTTCTAATATGTACAGTACATGAAATCAGAATATAGCTACCTTAAAAGATAATACATACATGGGTTTTCAGAGTGCAGAGGGAAAATTAGTATCCACTTATTTCATTTGCCAATGGTATTACAGATAGTCCTCCTACAATTGAGACTGGCAACTCCATCACTAAAAAACATGGTTGTAAAATGAAATGTCATGTGATTGTGCCAACTTATGACATCGGTTCCAGCTGCAGTCATTAAATGAATTACCCACAGTCAATAAGTTAATATCAAATGACCATGACCAGCAACTCTGATTTCCCCCCCCCCCCATTTGCTTGTTGGAAGCTGGCTGTGAGGGTCACAGATGGTGATCATATGATTGAGGGATTCTGCAAACATCATAAATGCACACTGCCAAGCACCCAAATCATGATCACATGACTGGGGATGCTGTGACAGCTACTGCTTTGAGGACAGGTGTAAAACTCCTTTTTCAGCACCATCGTAACTTTGAATGGTTGTTGAACGAGTGATCAGTAAATGAGGACTGCCTGTACTTTGCTTTAGCAATTGGAACTCTGTCAAAAGCCTTCAATGTAGCATTGTGGTTTTGGGGTGGTACTACCATCCTTTACCCCTCTTTTCATAATATTCTCTCAACTTAAAAAATTAGGTCATATTGTACTAGTTTTTGATATGTCATACAATCAGAATTAAATCATAATGAAACGGATTGGAAATCAAAATCATTGAAGAGATTTTGAAGCTATTTTAATTGACTTTTGTCACATGATTTTGTATAAGCAACTGAAAATTGAAATTTCAAAGTAATATACTGTACGCACAAATCTCCAGTTACCCTTATGATCAGTTTCAGCACAATTCATATGAGCAATTAGATACTGTAAAACAAATTTAACTTTTCTTGATCCTTTAAAAATCATTTGCAGAAACATTCAATTGATTAACTGTTAGTTTTCATTGTCCCTGAACATTTTGCTTAAATATTTAATTAATGCTGTAAGTTCAGGGTTGTCCCCAAGCAATCCAATTTGTTTATAAGCTTCAGACTCAAGTTCTTCTAGTGTTTTCCGGGTATATTCAAAGGATCCCACATTCTCAAGGTAATGTACACAGTATTTTTTTATATCCACATTTTCAGTTCTCTGTCGCAGAATATTTTGAACCTGTGTGCTCTCTGGCCTGGACCATATTGCATGAATAGTTGGGAACGAGAACTTTCCTTCAGTTAGGTCTTCACAAAAGCTTTTGTTTTCACTATATTCTTTGGAGTGTAAATTTGCATAATCATCTCTAATTTGAAAGAAGAGCCCAAGAGTGTTAAGGAGTGGTTTCAGATCATTTTTATAATTTGAAAATAACTGCATAAGGCCCACGGCTAGTCCAAAAAGGCCACCTGTCTTTTGCAGAACCATGGCTTTATATTCTTCTTCTGTAGGACAGGTATATGTATCTCTCCAGTAAATATCCAGGCCTTGGCCCTTATGGAGTTCAAGTAGTTGACTGGTGAATACTTTTACAGCATCTGGATGATCAAGCGTTAAAACCTTTTGTAGACCAAGGAAATATACAAAGTTTGCACAGTTTATCACATACGGTATTCCATAAATGCTGTGGGCCACTGGAAAACCACGTCGTAGCTTTGAATTGTCTTCTATGTCATCTATAAGCAAACTTGCATTGTGCAACATTTCTGTAACTTCAATTATGATCTAATAAAAAAGACAAAATAAACTTTTATATTGCTATTCTTCTATATTTAGATTCTCTGATTATTTCTATTTTCATTTCTTGCAAGATGTAAATTCTCTCTGCTAATTACGGTAGGCTTTTAATTCCATCTTACTGACACTGTCATTCCCATTGGGACCATGCACCCTATTGTCTGTATTTCTATATATTTGTTTGTATAGAGAGACTTTTTTAGTAGGAACGAACTTACACAATATAATTAATGATGGATGACCTCTATATGCACAATAACTCACAAATGAAAACAGATCATATACTCTATATAGATATAGATATAAAATGTAATACACCTGACTACAGAATTAATTTTTATGATATTACAACATACACATAATGTTAAGTCTTATAATTAAAGTATTTAAAATGTTTGAAAACAGCAATCAAGAAATGAATGCTTTGGCTTGGCATGCTAACCAAGTTATTTTTGCTCTTCATCAACCTTCTTTCAGCATATTGCTTATAGAAGCAGCAGAAATATATTTGATGTGACATAAATAAGTAGTTTTCTCATGCCCATATATCATACCCATATATTTGAGGGACAAATAGGCTGTGATATGTGTGGGAAAACTGCCTTCCTCATTGCATAGTACAAATTAGAGTGCAAAGTAGGGGATTTGTTTCAAGAGATATTTGGTCCCTGATGAACAAATATACCCAACATTTATCAAGGTAGTCCTCATTCATTTAGGTATAACATTAAGAGCACAAAATGAAAATGTTTGGAAAGCCCAAACTACTCTTTTCCTTGCTAACAACATTTTGTTGCAGTATACCACAATCTGAAGCAGTTGCACAGAGCCCAATATCTTGCCACCACAGAGGTTAAAATGCTACACTACTGCAGTAGTAACTTTAACTTAGTAACTTTAAATATTTAGATACAAACAGAACAAGAAAAAAGTAATTATATTTCCCCTTTGCCGTGTTTAAAACTATTAACTGTTAAATCAAGTTAATAACTTATACAACTCACCTGTAGTTTGTCTTCTGGAACATTCAACCAATGATTAAAGGCTTGGGAAAGTTTAGTTCTGACCTGTTTACCTATGATTTTAAAAAGTATATAAATAATACTGTACATTTTCATTCTACATAATCTTATTTGTAATAAGCTCTAGGAAATGTATTAAATGAATAGGGAGAGATAGTTTTCAATCAAAGCTTGAGCACAAAACTTGAATATTTTGGAAATATTTCATACTTCAATTATATTGTTTTATAATTTATGCTATTGTATAACTCCCTCTGTAAACATTCTGTGAGTGTTAATTTTAACACAATTTTAGACAATTAGAACTGATAATGTCATACGGAATTAGTTTGACATTTTTTGAATAAAAGCTTAGGCATATGAACTACCAGTTTATTTACAGACCACATCTTATTACATTGTGAATCATCACTACTGGCCTTTGTTCACTCAGCAGAACTTTACACAAGACAGCTGCAATTCTTAATACTAGCCAAAGAATTGTAATTAGCATATTTCATCAGCATAATATTGGCACACTATTTCTTATTATTAACTTCAAAACACTGCTACCAGAAAGTTGAAATTGAGTCCTGTATCTGGGCTTACCTGAAAAACTTACAATAGGAAGACTTTTTAAAAAGGAAATATGCATGGTACTGAGCTTTAATATCTGGAACTTTCCAGAAGGAAGGACAGGGGAATTTTTTTCCCTATATGAGGTTTAACTTCAACATTCATAAGGAGTAATTTTCATTAGGACAAACTCAAAAGTCAAAAACAAGCTTTCAAGAATTCTAGAGCTTTTCAGGATGCTACAAAAAACAGGAGAGAAAAATCTGACTTCACATAGAAATCTGTAAAACTACAATTAAAATAGGAGACAGATTTTAAACAGTTAAATATCATTCTTATATCTTGCTGACTAAAAAAAATTAAGAACTTAAAAGCAAACTGGTTAACACTTGAATTAAAAAAAATTGCTCTCTTTTTCTTTTTTCACATCTTTATATCCTTGGGGCTTGTCCTGGTAAAAAAGAGCAAGCACCGAAAGAGCAATTTCAATCCCTGGCTGCTCCCTTCATCCATTTCTTTTATTTGGTAGATCACAAAAAATAAAGTTAAAGTCTATATTTATATTTAATGATAAATGCAACTATATTATGGCTTTGCATGGTGATGTATGTACCAACCTATTAGCTAATAATAACCATATTAAAGCTTAAAATTATATTCATATGACATTAGCTCTATTCGAAACATGAAATTTTCTCTTATTTTGCTATGTAGTAGACAAAATGTAAATTAAAAGTTAAAATTCCAGTCTTAAAAACTTTTTGAATCGCACTTCTCTTTCTCTCTCTCCAAATACACACAGTGTAGTGATGTCGCTGATTTTAAGTGAAAGATTAGCATGCATCCTATAATATTTTAAATAACTGAGTTAGTATTTAATCCATAATCTTTGACTTTAGTGTAGGTTTATGCAAAACACAATGGGTGGGATTCACATATTCCACTAAGCCAGAGTTTATTAACAAAATACAACTTGCACAGTTTATACATCTTAAATGAAAAACATTTCGTATTAGGCTAGGTTCATAAAATGCACAAAGCAGTTTAATTTTTGCTTACCATATGTAATTAATCTGCAAAAAAACTGGATTTTTTTCAAACTGCTATTTTATCCCATGTTTGTTACTATTACTTAAGCCAGAAACTTTCTTATATTTGATTGGAAAAAAATTAATAATTCAACCATTATCAATTTGCTCATCTGCAAGACAGATTGATTTGCTCAAATCATTGTTAAAATAAATCCTAGTTTATATGTTAAAGAGGTATATCATTGCAGAACCAGGCTATGTAAATTGAAAACAGAAGAGTACAAAGTGATGATTAGGTACCAATGGGAACAAAGTGAAAGCTGATTTGGGGAATAAATGAAAAATGCATAGCTCAAGACCCAAGATATTGCTATGGCTATCCCAATTTATATATTTCATACATCACCATAATTCAAACAATAATATATTACCAGGGAGCTGAAGCAGATAGTTGTATGGCTCTAAAAGAATTCTCTTGGATGAATCTTCTAGTTCTTCCATTTTAAAAATGTGTTTCCCAAGCAGTGCCTTATAGTCTGAGAAAGAAAGAAAGAAAGAAAAAGAAAAAGAAGAAAGAAAGAAAGAAAGAAAGAAAAAAGAAAGAAAGAAAGAAGTTTTAAAGTATACATGACTGTAGTAATAACATCTGATGTAGGCAGAAGAAACAACAGGAAATGTCACAAAACACTGTGCCAATGTAGAAGTGGCAGGTACTTCTTTAAAGTATTTATGATGTCATTTCAAGTAACCATTAAATACACTATTCAAGTTCAGCCAACCACCATATTACTCAGAAAATATTACAATGAAAATTTTATGAGCATGTACCTATTTATATACTAGTAAGTCTAATAATAATGCCTCATCCTTCAGACTGAAGTACTGCTTATGGGACACTTATCATTCTCAAATATTTAATAGAGTTCTTGTTTGAACTTTATCTCTTTTTTCCTTCCCTCTAAAGGTTTTTTTTACTGCACTGCAGCTGATATGCACTAAAACAATTTGTCTCAGGCAATTTAAATACAGAACCTGCAGTCATAATATGGCCTGTGCCAATCACACTGTTGACTGTCTTGCACCTAACTAGTTGTTTCCTAGCATATAATTTCTATTTCCCAATAGTTTTAGTTTTATATACAATAAAGAGAATAATAGTATATACTACTGCAGCATTTTAACTGTAATAAAACGACCCGATTAACAATCTCCTCTAAATTCACAAAGAATACATCGAAATCCATGTATTGAAATGAAAACCTGAACTGATAAAGCCTCAACACATATAAATGCACACTAAACTAAGTAGGTACCTAATATGGAATTCACAAAAATCTTGTAAGCCAAAATTAAGTGAACTATAAATTAACACATGATGAGCCCAATAGAAGGGTGGGGCTTAACATTTGCCAATGTTCTTTTTATAAATTGCAAATTTGCAACTTGAGAAATTTCAGCAGGATTTGAACTGTAGTTCTTCATGGAATAGTAAACTTGATTGAGCACTCAAAAGAAAACTATCAAACAGAAAAAGGAAGAGGTATACTTATATACAATACTGCACTGTTCCCTGTAATCATTGGGAGTCAAATGGAAGCTATAGTACAGGTAGTCCTTGATTTAGAACAGTTCATTTAGAAACCATTCAAAGTTACAATGGCATTGAAAAAAGTGACTTAATTTCACACTTAAGACAATTGCAGCATCCCCATGATCAAAATTTGGATGCTTGGCAACTGATTCATATTTATGATGGTTCAGTGTCCCAGGAATATGTGATCAACTTTTGTTACCTTCTGACAAGCAAAGTCAACGAGGAAGCTACATTCATTTAATGATTGTGTTGCTAACTTACCTGTTGTGATTCACTTAACAACTATGGAAAGAAAGGTTGTAAAATAGGGCAAAATCACTTTACAACTGTTTTGCTTACCAATATAAATTTTGGGCTCAATTGTGGTGGGAAGCAAAGGCTACCAGTAATGTACTTTCAAAGCTCCATGGTTTGTGAATATTGTTTTAAAACTTATATCACAAACTCCATATTGGCTTGTGTAATGACAGCTTGTGTAATAAATTAAATTGACAGTATCAATTTAATTTATTAAAATACTGAAATCTTAAATAAACTTGACATTGCCTGCTGAAATAAAATTTCAAGCTTCCTTAAGAATTTGATAGTACATGGTTAATTAAAGTACTTAACCCTACTTTATCTTCCTGTCTGCTGTTTTTATAATTAACAAAAACTTTGGACAAGATGCAGACTTACCTAACTTACCTAACCCTGATCCTTTCACAATGAAGTCTGAACTTGTTTTCTTAGGCATCCTTATCTTACAATTTAAAACTTGAAACAGTCCAGCAAAACATAATTCGAAATGTACTTAACTAAGAACATACTAATATAGCCCCAAATACTCTTTAGAAACTGAATGAAAACACAAAAGACATTAATATTTTAACTTCAGCTGCTCCTGCCTGTTAGAAATAAAGAGACTTTGTCCTTAAAAAGAAATTTCACAAAAGTAGATCCTCTTTTTTTCTTTACACCAATCAAAACTTCAAACTGAACAATAAAAGCGCCTACACCTCCCCCAAAATCTATGAAACAGTCAAATTGGCAAAGGAAGAGGCAAAAAAAGCTCTCAATTTACATTGACAACAGCCTCTCATCGACCGAGCCCGGGAAACCGGCAGTCATATTTGCACAGAAGAGCCGCCTCCTTTTGCCAGCTCAAGCCAAAACACCGAAAGCGAGCGCGCCAACACCCTCCCCGGCTGTTTACCAAGGGGCGACTTCTCTCGTAAAGGACCACCGGCCTTTTCTACTGGAGCGACAAGAGACCTGGCAGCAAATAGAGTGGAGGGGGGGGGGAGACCCGCCGCTCGACTAGAAGAGCCTCTGGAAGCGAACGGAGAAAACAAGTAGAGCGAGATTCAGCGGCGCGGCGGCTTCAACCTACCGCGGCCTCCTCGGCTTCCTCACCGGCCTCAGCCACTCCTCAGCCCGCCTCACTCTAGTAGCGAGAAGCGCAAACCCCTCCCCTCCCGCCTAGATCGCTCCTCCGCCTGATGGAGGGAAAATGCGCCACCGGGGCCTGTTGGCGCAGGCGCGAGCTCCTCCCCTCCTCCTCCCGTTTCGAGAAAGCCCTCTTCGTTTCTCTCTCTCTCTCTCTCTCCCCCTCCATTTTCTCATTCTCCTCTTCGTCCTCGCGAGGCATCTCGGGAGCTGTAGTAGCGGCGAAGCAAAATTCCCTCATAGACTGCGGCAAATGGGCGGGACAAAACCATGCTACCCAGAAGGCGCTACGAAGCCGAGTCTCTGTTTCCATAGAACTGGAGTGGGAATTACATCAGCGTTTCTGAGGCAGCGGCTAATGGCGATGGCGTGTGGGCGGGCCGCTCGGGTGGCGCGCCAATGCGAAGCGGGCAAGGCGGTCAGAGGGCGGGCGTCGATGCGTCAATCAGGCATCGGATCGGGGGAGGGGACGGAACAGCTTGGAGCTGAGCCGCTGCTGTCGCCGTCGCCACCGGGGTTCGGACGGGAGGGAGAAGCGTCCTCTTGGCGAGCCCTCCCTGCCCCAGAGCCAGGCCGGCGATCGCTGGAGGGACGGAGGCGGGAGCGGGGGCCGGGCGATTGGGCCCGGCGTCGAGAGGAGGCTCCGTCCTCCTCGCTCCCCCCCCTCCCGCGGCAGGTTTGGGGGGACCAGCGAGCGGGCGACAGCCGTGGAACAAAAGGTAACGTTGCCCCGGGGAAGAGGCTGCGGGCCCCGGCCCTGGGCGTTTCGCCGAGCTCCCCGGGGAAGGCCGAAGCCCTTCGGCGGGGGGATCGGAGGAGAAGCGAACGAGCGACTCGCTTTCGGGATGGTTGTTTTTCTGCTGGTTGAGGCGGCGGCGGCGGCTGCGCTGGTCGCTTCAGCTTGCCGGGAAGCGGGACCTCGGAGTCTGGGAGGAGGAAGCGGGGAGTCCCGCGGCCGGCTTGGGAGGGAGGCGCTCCCCATCGCCGCCCCCGAGCGTCGCTTCTCTCGGCTGGAGCCCGGAGCTGCGGCTGTTGCTGAAACTCCGACCGCGGAGTCAGCCCGGGGGGGGGGAGGGGAGCGAATCTGTGGGGAGAGCGAAGAGGGGCCAGTTTGCGGGAAAGAGCTGGGAGCCGCGGCTCTGGATGCGGGATGCAGCGAGGGGGGCGCGGAGAGGGAGGAGGGCAAGCTTTATCGAGCCGCCCCCTCCCCCCCCATCTCCGCTTCTTGTCCCTAGTACAATGGAGAAACCTCCCCTCCCGCAGGGAAGTGTGTGTGTGTGCGCGCGCGCGCGCGCCTGGGCGAGAAAGCACCTCAGTCCGGACTGGGCACCTCTTGGCCGGTCTCTCTTTCCCCCCTTACTTAGCCCCAGTTTCTTCGGGGGCGGGGGGCGCACAGAGACGTCTCCCCGTCAGCCGACGATGAAGAGCTTGTGCCCTCTGTGGCGGTGCCCGGAGAGTCCCTTGCATGGAGGGAAGCGGAGGGAGGAGGGGGTTGTTAAGAAGCGGTTGTTGTTGTGGCAAGTTTCTGCTCTGACAGAAATGGCGTCAAAGGCAGCGGGCGAGGGGGGGAAGCCAGCCGCGGGGGTGAGGCTCCGAGAGCAGCAGCGGCTTTTTGTGGCTGGAGCGGAGAAGCGGCGTAAGAGAAAGGGGGGAACGGTAGGGGGGGGCATGGGGGGGGGGGGGGGGGGAGGGGGGAAAGGGGGGGGGGGGGGGGGGGGGAGAGAAAGAGAGGTTCCTGCAAAAGCGGCCCCCTCCCAGCACTTGCCGAGTGCGCCCCGTTGAAAAAAGGGGATGGTGCGGTGGCTCAGTGCTTTGTTTTAAATTTCAGGTCCAGCCTTGGCAGCATATTCGCTTTCGGATTTTTCTGCTGCAGCCTGAGTTCATCATGAAGGTAAAACCTCTTATGGGAAGGGGGGGGGGGGGAAATGGGGCGTCGCGGAGGGTTATGTTTCTCCGAGCTCCGCTCCCTGGTGTGCGTATTGTAGCCGTTTTCAGTTCCAGACTGCGGATTATTTCCCTCCTTTTAGCTTTCAGGCAGTGAGTGATGTATATATGACTTTTTCAATTTTTTTTTTTGTTTTGAATACTCTTGCTCGGTGTGTGCCGAAAGCAAAATGTAAATCCAACGTGCTTGGAGTTTCTCTTCTGCAAAACCTTTTCAAAGAGAAATGACATGGCTGCTTAGGCCAGAACTAATAACTTGCTGGAGGAAAAGGGAGGGTTTCCTTTATTTTTGGGGTGCTGGGGAGGCTTCTTTACCTTTTTCTGTTTTCATTCATTGAAATTAAAGGATAAGTGTAATGTATTTTCTTTGTTCTGGAGTCTGGTTGAAGTAATTATTTTGAGTTCCCGGAAGTATCTTTAAAAAGATTTATCTACTGCATAAATATTGCTGCAAGCTGTAGAGCATGTTTTGTGTTACTTCTTTTTTTTTAAAAAAGCAAGTTTTTAACCACAGGATACAGTATTTGTATATGTGTCTGTTAATTGAAAGGCACTGACAGTTGGTGATCAGAATCTTAAAAGTAAATGGGATGAAAAAAATGTGTTCCTTATTTTTAAATTTGCAATAACCACAAGTTCAGAATCTGGTGTAGAATACTGATCATGAATATAATTTTTAAAAAACTGTGGTAAAGTTGAGTTTCATATAGCCTGCTGAAGACATTTTTGAAAAACTGAAAATGAAACATTGTATACTGTAATTGATAAGCCCTGTCTACCATCTTTGTTATTAAATATTGTAAGTTACTTCATCTGTTAAGGAAGGCTTTTCTTGAGAGAGATGGGTAGCTGCAATCACACATCAGCTGTGCCGGAAACTCTAGGAATAACATATTAAATATTTCATACAAGTATGACTGTTTTCGGCTATTAAGCTTCATAATGATTCTTTTTTCCATATGATATTCTTTCTGAAATTAGTATTAAGGTTGTTTGCAATAACGGGGAGAACGCATGGATATTTTTAGTGCAATGTCTGTTCATTTAACTATAGAATTTATTTTCATTGTTTATGAAATTTAAGACTGCTTTAGGATGAAATTTATTTTGTTCAGAAATTATGATTACAGTTAAAGTACAGTAATTACATTTTTAACAGATTATTGAATATGCATAAAATGAATGTTACAAATTACTTTATAATCAGATGATGGGGTATATGACATAGATGTTTAATCCATGCTTCAACAAGTGGCTTTCTGATATAAATATTAACGTATTTTTAAAAATTAGAAACTGCATAATTATAAATAGGTAGCAAAAGATTATAAATATTGAACAAAATGTGATTTTTAAGGAATGAACTGCACTTTTGCAAATGAATTATCCCCCAGACCCTTACTTTTTGTATACCATTGTGGATTTCTATAGGAGAATTCAATAGTATAGACTATTGCTAATCTCGGCACTTTGATACTCCTGTGTGAATCTAGTATCTCTTGTGTTTTGAAGCATACATGAACCCATTTCTCTAAATTTGGCCACAGCTGAACTGAAGGGTTGGGGGAGATTTCTCAGTCTGTTTATCTTACTGTCTGACTTCTCTTTCAGTGATAGAAACTTGATGTACTTGTTTCTTTCTTACTATTTTATCCTGGCAATTATATGCTTGTTGGATAGCATGCTTATATAATGACTAGCTGGAGATTATTCAGTCAACCTTGTGCATGAGTGGGGATTTAACCTGAATTTCTTTGTTCCTAATTTTGTATAGTGTGTGAATTGGACCTATCATTCTAAATTAATATAACTAAAATTAATATTGAATAGGAGAGAGTGGAATGGATATAGTTTTCAGAACATATAAAGTAAAAAATGAATGTTCTTCTTCAGATTAAAATTACAAACTAGTACTCTTCTTGGAATTTGTTCTGCTGTGCTTATGGTCTTTTAAGCTTATATATAAAGAACAACTTGTTCTTTTGTTTTCATCATTAAATAAGTTCTGCTTAGTCAAGCCTGTTCTGTTGGCCATCGGCTGCCAGACAAATCAAAATCACTCCTCCTCTCACTTTTTGTTTCTATTATGTGTCAATAGAATGTAAGAGTTGTCTCAGGATCTTGGTCACATCCTAACATTCTAACTTTGCAAATGGGGAATAACCCAGCTACTAGTGAATTATCCAATCATTCAAATGACTGTACCTTCTGGCAGTAAAAGGTAAAAAACCCTTTACTTCATGACTCCTTCCATGCAGTTTTCTTGGCAATGATAGCAGTGGCTTGCCTTTTTTTGGGATATTTTTTTACTTCCTTATTCTACCAACAGCTTCAGGATTTCCAGGTAGTCCCCCATCCAGATAATCAACACCAACACTGCTTACCTTTTGAGGTGTCAGTTGGTCCTGTCATTTGCTGAGCCACTTCTGGCAGTAACAGTCTTCAATTAATGTAGAGACAAAAACAATGTCCCATGGGTCTAGTTGGAAGCTAATTTCTAATATATTCCCAATTAGTTAACAGTGGAATAATACTGTTTATAAAGTACAGTGATATAGGGATGTAATTGTAAGTTTAGAGTTACATTTAACTTATAGGAATAAAAGAAGAATCACATTCTGCCAAATTTTGTAACTTTTGTAACTTTTTAGAGATAGGGATAACCAAATACAAAAGTGGGTAGGGAAAAAAAAAGGAAATTTGAGATAAAAAGAAGATTGCATTCAAAGCACACCTGTAGACATTAATGCTTCAACATTTCAGAATTCCTATCTACTTTGTATCTGATTATGCTAATTTTGTCCTCTTTGGAAAGAACAGTATGTATACATAGGAACTAGAATTTACTCCAAAGAGAAACAAATTAGGATTTAGTTTGATTTCAGCATATTTCCTAGCTTTTGTAATGGGCAAAGAGAGTCGATGAAATACATTCTAGTTAGTCTCTTAAGTAATGTACCATGAGTAATTTTTCTGACTTAATTTTATTTACTTATCTAATTTATAGAGCCAGCTATTTCACAAGCAAGTGACTCTTACTGGCATACAATATGTAATTGTATGGCTTACAACACATAACAGTGTATTTTAAATAACAATAAATAATTACAAATTGGGACTCAGCTAAAATAAAACTAAGTTTGATGTATGTTTTCTCCTACTTCAAACTGAAGAAGATGAAGGGAGGAAGCATTTTTCCAGTTTGAAGCCTCACGCACATTCATTTTTGTTGGTGATCTTTGTGTTTGAAAATAGTGCATGTTTACATTCATCCTTAGAAGAATAAAAGCTAAGAACATGTGATAAATATGTGGCTGAACGAGATGAGAAGCTTATCTTAGTCTGAGTTGAGGAACAAACACATTCCAGAAGAGAAAGTGTTGAGATGAAAGAAATTCGGCAAATGAAGTTATTTCTTTCCTCTCCCAATCTCCTGGGTTCAGATTTCTGATTTCCTTTTCTTACTTCAAGTGAACCATATTTAGTTTTTATATGTCTATTCAGATTAAGTACAGCAGTATGTCACTGAAAATACATTTCAAAAGGATGTACAAATTTATTGAAATCATGTAGTTTTCTATAAGTAATGTTGAAATGTAACAGGTTTTGTGGATCTCCTTTTAATTTTTTGTTTTCTATTACTTGCTTCTAATGCTAAAATGTTCTGCTTTTATTGCTGAGAATAATTGCACACTGTTTTCAAATGAATCATGAATTAACTGAAGTAATTTCTTTGATCCCTTCTAAAAAAACCCTTCCTAAAAATGTCAGGTGTGTTTTAATGTTTGCTCAAAAGTAATTATAAGTTAAACAAATTTTTAATTTTGTTGGATTCAAGTTGGTTCTTAGGGAAGGTAGAAAATCTATTTAAATTGTATTTAATGAAAACTAATTCATATTTCCTGAATTAGTTTGCATTAAATACAATTTAAATGCATTTTTAAATTGAATGTTGCTGTATAAGAAATCAGAAAGCTTTATTCCTTTTTATATTCTTCTACAAATAGTAAAATAGTCATGATTGATATGTTTTGTTTATCAATCTATGATAAAATTATGAAAATTACATTGGGGAAGCTGAATGGCATATATTATGGAAAAGTGCTGAAAAAATGAATGTATTGATGGATATTGTACAGAAAAATGCATCCAGTTATACACATAAGATTAAAAGATTAAGTTGATGCAAAAAAGAAGAATTATTTTTTGCAAGCAGTATAGAAATCACAGCAGATGACTTAGTTTGTTTCTAGCTCTGAAAATCAAGCCAGTTATATTCTAATCCGAACTATTATAAATTTCTTAATCTATGGTTGCCTTTCACCTATATTGTGAGTCAAGCAAATGTGACATAATAACATAGTAGAAGAGAATCAGAGTGGTAGATAACATGGTTTTTTATATAGAGAAAGTTGTAACCTTGCTTATATTGTCTATTGAAGTTAATGACATTTTCTAATATACAGTACTTGAATAGTGCATGCATCCATAATGGGACCAGGTTATTTGCAAGACCACTCCTCCCTGCAGGTATTTGCCTACTCCATCAGGTTAGTTAAGATTAGGCATGTTCTAGGCCCTCTTAAATGCTACCTGCTAATGAGACCTAGGAAGTGTCCCTTTTCTGTAGCAGCCTCTATTTTATAGAACTTCAGGATTAGCAAGCTTCCACCCTTTTAACTTTCCATTTTGAACAGTTTAAGTGCAAAAATGATTTGTCTTTGTGTGTGCTGATCATTTGTGTCAGTATCCTTATTTAGATATGGTTATTTATCTCTATCACCAAATTCTTCTCTTGTCCTGTTCTGAAATCATAGAAGTTCTGTAACAGCTGAACTTTACACAGCAGGCATTTTCTCTTGCTTAAGTTTCTCTTCACTTTCTCTGAAGTGCTATACTATATTGTGATTGGTGCTTGAATTGTTATAATTCTGTCCAACTTTTGTA